CGGCCAGCTCGTGTTGAGCGAACCCGCACGTCAGTCGGCCGGCTCGTGTTGAGCGAACCCGCACGTCAGTCAGCCGGCTCATGTTGAGCGAACCCGCACGTCAGTCGGCCAACTCGTGTTGAGCGAACCCGCACGTCAGTCGGCCAGCCCGTGTTGAGCGAACCCACACGTCAGTCGGCCAGCTCGTGTTGAGCGAACCCGCACGTCAGTCGGCCAACTCGTGTTGAGCGAATCCGCACGTCAGTCGGCCAGCTCGTGTTGAGCGTACTCGCACGTGCGACCGCTTTCAGAGTACCCCTGCTGGAGGCAGACAATGCCCAGTTAATGACTTGTCCTGGCAGAGGACGGGGCGGAAGCGGCGCGGCGGCGTGCTGGCCGGCCGGCGTGTCCGCCGGTGCCGGTCACACCCTGGGAGGAAGTAGCGGTGCTCGGACGGTTCAGCCAGGACGGCGGCGCCATATGGAGAGCAGGTGCCACGCTCCGACGAAGAACCGCTGGCCGTGGTCTGCAGATGGGCTCGGTAGCGGCTCCGGCGGCCGCCGGCTCCCATCGCTGTCCTCCCCAGACAACGGCCGCCGGCTCCCATCGCTGTCCTCCCCAGACAACGGCCGCCGGCTCCCATCGCTGTCCTCCCCAGACAACGGCCGCCGGCTCCCATCGCTGTCCTCCCCAGACAAAGGCCGCCGGCTCCCATCGCTGTCCTCCCCAGACAACGGCCGCCGGCTCCCATCGCTGTCCTCCCCAGACAACGGCCGCCGGCTCGTGGCACCGTCCTCGCCTGCCGGCCGGCTCCTAACACCGTCCTCGCCTACCGGCCGGCTCCTAACACCGTCCTCGCCTGCCGGCCGGCTCCTAACACCGTCCTCGCCTGCCGGGCGGCTCCTGGTACCGCTTTCCCCAACAGGGCAGCATTCGTGGCTAAAATGCATGCCGGTAGTGCATGTAGGTGGACTGGACACTTGTCTCTACTTATGAAGATTGCCACCGCCGGCGAGACGATTATAGTTGAATGGTGGTACTATGTTGCTCTGTTATTGTTATCATAAGTTTCTCCTTCAGTGCAAATTATCCCAATTATTTGGACTTAAGGGCTTATAACCATATGGCTAAAAGCTGCTTTCCTTTCTAGACTAAATAAGACTGCACCGATGCTTGGTGGTTTGAAGCGCGGCGGTGCGGAGCGGGCTGTTCACCCATGCCAGTCCGAACGATGAGGCTGGCGCTGATGTGGCGCTGTTGTGTCGTGGTGACCCATCTATGCCTTATTGATAAAATGCTAGACTGACGCCACCTGCGATGAAATTGTCTGAAAGCTGCTGGCAGTCTGTTGGCTCATGCATAAGTACACACATAAGTAAATGACCTGCTGCGTGTATTCGAATTTAGGCCTTACGAGAAAACTGACATTTTCCCGAAACAGCTCCAAGTCGCCGAAGCTCAATTTTCTAAAGTCATGTCTCGGAGGACATATTCGGGTGGGGATGGTCTACACGGAAAAGGGCAAATTCCGCAGGAAGGGGGCAACCAGCCATATTTCGGAATTCTCAAGGAAATCAAAGCAATTTCAACTACGAATAGCCTCAGAAAATGGTTTGAAATCAATGAATGACCAAACCAATTGAATAAAGTCGAGGCACATTTTTTAACATGGGCCCTCTCGCGAATGGCGTTGCCCACACTTTCCCAAGACCGTATCCTAAATCGACCCTTGGACACGGACTCGGGCACGAACCCGTGAGTTTTACGAGTCTTCGAAGACGTCCCCGAGCGGCAATACTTGGCGGAAGAGAACTGCTGTCCAGTGCCGGAAGCGCGCTGCCGAGTGACAGTTGCAAATACATGCATGCAACTCTGGAAATGTTCTCTCAGAAGAATAGACTGGATATAGGCGCTTTATGTGGATCCGGGCCTGTTCCAGTAAGCTCTTGTGCAGCCAGGTAATGGGTACACCTTGCACACCGCTGTGACGTCATTTTAGAGACTGGCATCATGCCTGTAGCTTAGACGCCATTTTGCGTGATCCAGACGTGTTCTTCCAGACTAGCGCAATGCAAGGAAGCATGCACGAGTCCGTGAGACGTTGCAACGGCAGCCATTGACACGCGGCTTGCGGCAGCGTCAGTCTATTTACCCATAAATGTTACACCATTCAGTCTTCCCAGCACGTTTTTCCAGTCATTGTCACGGTTTCATGTAGTGGCGTTCTTCACAAGTGTTATAACGGCTGAGCGAAGAAGAATGCAAGGTCATTCTGAACGATAAGGACATATTAAGTCACCCTGTTAACGTCACCCTGTTAGTCACCCTCAAAGGCCTATTGCTTAAGTGAAGCGGGGCCTTTCGGCACACATGAAATTTTTGAAGAAAAAAAAACTATTGGGAAATGCGGTGCGTGGACCGGTGGACGATAGCAGAGCAATGATCGCCATGGAGAGTGAAGTGCTCTAGGGTTTTATGGCAGAGAAATGCGGTGCGCGAGCCAGCGGAGATAGCAGCGGCGCATAGAAACGTATCATGAGGCCGGCGCGGCCAGCCGCAGCGCGGATCCCAGAGCGATGCAAACATTGGCTGATCGGAGCAAGACAAACAGTGCAGCCGTGACACTGAGAGTGAGAACATGTACGAAGTTTCGGTGTGCGCTTTCGTACGGCACACGATGTTGGTCGATTCAGATGCGTCGGTCATCGTGTACCAGACATGTCACTGATTATGACGGGGCAGCAAATACGTAGCAAGCTCCGCAAAATGTACAAAACCGATTTGCACAATTATCTTGTGTTGCAAAGCGTTTCCTCAGTCTTGCATCTATAAGTAATTGAGAAAACTCTTATTCTCAAGCGCACGAAGATGCAGTAACGGCTCGCAGTGCATTCGTCTGCAGACCACATGCTGGGTTTTACCAGGAGAAGGTCGGAGGGTGCAGGAAGTCAATTGTCATGTTTGACGTAACGCCGGTGTCTGTCTCCTGGGAAAGTAGTCCAACACGAAACAGCGTGATCTCGAGCCAGCCTAGGACGACTTGCTCGCTCCCACATGAAAGCGATGACCGCGCATTAGAAAACGAACGGCTCTGGCCCAGTAGAAATTGATGCATCATGTCGTTGCAGCGAAGCGGAGCCTTGGTTCCGCTCGCTGGCGCCTCAAAAGCCAGTGGCGGATGGACCTGTGTGTTAACTCTCACTCTCTGTCGTCTTTCGAGTGACGGGCGGTGCTTTTCTTCCCAGCTGGCCTGCTGTGGCGCTGACGTCTATGATAATTGGGCGACACTGGAGCCGCGCCCGAGTAGTCAGTTCAAACGTAACCACTGGTCTAAGCCGAGCCTTTTCACATGATGTGAACGTGCTGCGGCTGATTGATGTTACGTGGCTCAGGTAACACGCGTAGCGGTATGTGTGTGGACTGCGGACGCATGATATTCATTTAATTGATTTGATTGTTGGATTATTTTGGAGATATGTTCTACCGTCTAAACAGTTTGCTCAGTTTTCTAAGTCAATAGCCCCTAATCCTTATTGCTTTCTAAGCCAACAGTCCCTCATCCTTTCTGTTTTTACGAGGTTTCACGTCACGCTACGCACCAATATTTCCTGTGAGCTTCAGTCAAGCGCGCATAACAAAACAACTTCTACCCGAAGTTTGTGGACATCGACTATTGTATGTTCTATTTGCCCATCCTTCCACTGAACCAGTGGTTAACGCCCCGCCTGTCGTAATGCGCATGCATCTGTATCAAATGTTGTCAGGTAGGCTTAAGAGATAAGATAAGAGATAAGATCATGATAGGATAGGGAAGACAGCAGGATGTAGGCTTGTCTAGAAGGGCTTGGGGCAGGTATGAGGTCGGAATTAACATAAAAAATAATAAGGAGCTCGTCGGTCACTTAGGCGCCAGTCTCGGCCAGTGGTGTAGTTAAGTCTTGCTGATTGCGCACTTTCTTGGCCTGGCTTGACATATATCAGGTCAATTAACTGCCATTCTGATGCGGCTAGTCGACCGCGATCCAGCGCCATTCGTTCTCCTCTTATATATAGCAGGACCTTTCAGACTCTCCTGTCCGGCGAGGGTTAAAAAACGAAAAAATTATGGTGAACATTGAAAAGCTTTCCGCTCCACCGCTTTCAAAACAGCTGGGTTTCGCAAGAAGAACGAATTAAATTTATTTGACTCGTCCCTCATAGAAGCCTAAAATTCAAATTACGACTACCTGGACTTCGGCTCGAATTGCTATTGAGGTTTATCTTGTTGTTGTAGTTTATTAGGCTTTACGAGCGCGCCGTCTGAGAGGTTTATCTTGACCTGCGCTCAACGCAGCTGGGCGCTCGTGCTCTCCTAAAGATGTTTTGCCTCAAGCGAATTTGAGACATCGGCCTATAAACAAACGCGAAATATTTCCTCACCGATTCTAGCCATTAGTGACTGCAAAAGCCTCTGCTGCAAGGTTAGCGTACGTTGTGAGTTAGGCCGTCTCGGGCCATCATCCGCGTGGCCTGCCACGCGCGGTACATCACCCATGTGACCTGCCGCGCGCGGTACATCACCCGTGTGACCTGCCGCGAGCGGTACATCACCTGTGTAACCTGCCCCGCGCGGTTCATCACCTGTGTGACCTGCCCGCGCGATACATCACCCGTGTGACCTGCCCCGCGCGGTACATCACCCGTGTGACCTGCCCCGCGCGGTACATCACCCGTGTGACCTGCCCCGCGCGGTACATCACCCGTGTGACCTGCCCCGCGCGGTACATCACCTGTGTGACCTGCCCGCGCGGTACATCACCCGTGTGACCTGCCCCGCGCGGTACATCACCCGTGTGACCTGCCCCGCGCGGTACATCACCCGTGTGACCTGCCCGCGCGGTACATCACCCGTGTGGCCTGCCCCGCGCGGTACATCACCCGTGTGACCTGCCCCGCGCGGTACATCACCCGTGTGACCTGCCCCGCGCGGTACATCACCCGTGTGACCTGCCCGCGCGGTACACCGTCCCGGTGCCACTCACCGCAAAACGGGATGGCGTCGGGCGTCCAGGTGCCGTTGACGCGGCACACCCTTCTGGCCGGCCCGAGCAGCTCGAAGCCCCGCTCGCAGGTGTAGGAGGCCGCCGACCCGGGCCGTATCTGGGCGGTGGAGAATGTCACCGAGCTGTGCGCCGGAGCGCCGGGGAAGCCGCACCCGACAGCTGCAACAGGGCCAGGGACGGTCAGAGGGGGCGCCGCTGCTGCTGACCATCGGTGCAAGTTACTCTGCAACATGGAAGTTGAGTGATCAACAGATCACGTGTGAGCAGGGAGATAAGAACACGGGGATGAACGCAAGGGATTGAGGGGAGGCAGGCCGTTGCGATTCTCGGAGACCGTGCCGTCTACTCCAGTTGGGGCCCATAAAAAATGAAAAGCAGCACAGCACGGATAGTGCCAATGGCACGGGCCTCCACCGCACTCGCTAGCAACAACTGATGTGCTTGTTTTGGGCTGAAATGTTTAAATTTTAAGATGGTGACTTTTTCAAGCACGGCTGGAACACAGCAGTTGGCTCAAGCTGGTAATTGCAGTTAAAATTTGTATTTTGCTTGGCATTCACACAAGCTACCGAAATATGCGGGGCTTTTTGAACAAGTCTGCCGTGCACGACATTCATTGGTGCACCGGTAGCAGTAGCAGTAGTTGACATGTTTCAGTACCTGAAAGAGTGCTGAATATGGGTGATGTGATGTGTCGTGAAACTAACATTTAAACGTGTATCGTCCTGATGCGAAACAACACACGTATTAAGTATGTCCTCTCCATGTGCATGTAAGAAGCCCGGACATGCGGCGGTTCATCCCCTCTACTGTGGAGCGCCGCTGGGGGTGCACTGGAGCGCAAACGAAAGCCCACGCAAACCGCGCAGACTGGGTCACTGGGAGCTCATCCGGCAAGGTCAGCTCCCGCCGAGCGCACCAGCTCCGACGCGCGCGCGCTCTGCGCTTGGAGCGCCGAGTTAGGACAGAACGACGGCCGGGTATCGTCCTGTCCTCGCTGCGGAGCGGCGGCTCGGGACGTACCCGCCGACCGCGCGGCACGTGCCGCGGCCACCGGGTCGCCGGGCGGTCGTCACGGCCGGCGATGTCGCCACCTGCTCCGCACGGCCGACTTTGTACGGCTGGCTAGAGCGGCCCGTGGGGCTTCCGGCGGGCACGCGCTCTCGGGCGTACCGTGGGTCGACGGTCGGGAGATGGGGCGGGTCAGGGGGCTCGTGCCTTAGCCACTACCTGTCACTGGGAGCACAGCTGGGGAAGGGTGGAGTAGATTCGGGTGCTGAGCGGGAGTAACGTGGCGACGGAGCGTGAGGAAAGCGGGCACAAGACAAAAAACGGGGATAATTGAGTAGATAGCACGGGGCAAGACGGGCTGCGAGGAAGGTGGCGACAACATTTAAAGAACAAAGATTATTCGGGAGAGAGCGCGAGAAAGGAACAGGGAGAGAGAAGCGCACCCCAGGTGTGTGCCCATTTCAGCCGTGGCCCGTGGCTGCCTGTCGTTACGGCTGGGTGGCTACAGACCGCCTCCTATGCAGGAGCCTGAGCGTGCAGTCGACCGGGGCGGCTGTTCGGCTTTCTGTACGGCCGGGCGGTGGAATTCATCGCTGTCTTTGATTTCGAGTTAGGCCCGCCAATGGGAAATAATGAGAGGTCATCTCGGGAGCACCCGATTTAGAAGGCTCGGACACTATCATTGTTCTCAGCGGTTGGGTGCCGGAAGACGGCATTGGACGAGGGATAATGCTCGTAATTGTCAGAAAGGTAACTGGGTAGATGACGAACTTGTTATGCGACACACTTTCGCCATTGAGAAGCTTGCAGCGCGGACGCTCTTTGAAACAAGGTCACGCAGTCATTCCAGCAGCATGCATCTCTTCCCGTCTCAGACAGCTGAACCCGGTGAAAGTCCGGTTCCACGAATCTGAATGGACAAAGGGGTCGAATCGCTCAACTAGTCGGCGACGTAACCCGCCCTCCCGTCCGCCGAAGCAGCTTTCGTTTGGCGCCGTCCGTGCCTGTGGAGCCATCAGACATGTCTGATCTGCACTAGACCTGACCGATGGCTGGCGTGCCCCACCTCCACCAGCCAGCGGCGTCTCGTGTCAGCGTCCGGTGACGGTCCGGCTCGTGGCCGGGCCGGGCCCAGCCGGGGCAGCCGTGTCTGCGGCGCGAGAGGGGCGGGCGCCGCCGAGGCGGCCCGCAGACCGGAAGCGTTCCGGTCGACTGGTGACCGGTGGTGTCGTCAGCTGCGGCACACGGGCGCAGCCGAAGCCACGGCCGCGCCCTGCCGCCGCGGTCCGGGGGAAACACGACGGGCCGCGCCCTGTACGCCGATGCCGTCTCAGCTGAGTACGTGAAGAGCGCCGTCTTCCACTGATCAAACTCACACCAGGTGTCGACATCGTGTGTGATTGGGGAAATTTGATTGCCGTGTGATGCGCTTCCCTTGCGGTGAGGGTCCAGTGAGTCCATGGTCTACATTAGCATCTGGTCTGTGTTTTTAAAAGATTTCGCACATCACTGGGATAGCTTGCGAGGAATGTGGATATTTTTAGGAGCGTTCTTCTGTACTGTACGAATAATAATCATCTGATAAGCCTGAGCAAACTAACGTCTGGTTGCAGCGAGGTGATCCTAAATATTTACTGTACTGTCCTGTTCGCAAGAACTGTGAATGAAACTGCGCTGTCTTCGTTCACGGTCTTTTTCATCCAACAATCAAATGCTTATAGCCAGCTATTGATATCTATCCATCGCCGCAGCCTTGTTTAATGGTTGCGGCGACTTGCGGCAAGCATGCGTAAGCTGATGATGTGGACAGATTTTCGAAGAGGAACAATATCAACAGGCTGGTCGACGAATCCACCTAATCACCTAAGAATTGTTTTTACACGAAATGCAGAAGGTTGACGGAAAACCCTTTGCAGCATGGCCATAAAAACAGGCCAGGACATTTCCATACCCAATATAATGTTGTACATATACGATAATCGGTTTATTTTCGAACAATATGACATGGAGCGAAAAACTACCGATACGTTCAACAGCCTGGGATGAGCTCAGACATTTCAATTTTAGATATGCTTGCTCGCATCGGTAATCGAAAGGCTAGGAGAACCTTGAAGATTGGGAAGGAGGTACTATACCATAAGCGGACATTATGTAAAATACTGCACGCGGTAAATATAAAACATCTCAGGCGACCAGGGCTGGCCAGGACCTGGAGACAGTTGGGTAGCAGGCAGATCTTCCTGAGATTTAACAAAGTGGCATTAGGCCTTCGGCATTATATGGGACCAAAAAAAGATTTAAACTCAATCGCCTCTAGGGTCTCCTCCGAAGTGAAATGTCTAATCCTGGATCAGATATCACAAATTAGAAGAAAACAATCTATAAAAGTATTTTTAAGCCACAAACTCACCTGCTTCAACCAAGATGACGCAGATATATAGCGGCCAAATCACCCTCGTCATCTGCAGGGCCATAGCGGTCCAATGCAGACCACCACGGTCCGTGCTGATGTTCTGCTCTTCAGCCGGCAGGGACCTGAAGTCCTCCCCAGGCAGCCGGCGGTCCGGAGGCTCCAGCCGCACCGCTCGACGGCCGCCCTGGTGCGTCTCTCAGAGCACGGTCCCGGCGGCTCCAGCCGCACCGCTCGACGGCCGCCCTGGTGCGTCTCTCAGAGCACGGTCCCGGCGGCTCCAGCCGCACCGTTCGACGGCCGCCCTGGTGCGTCTCTCAGAGCACGGTCCCGGCTGCTGCACCTCCACTGCTATCCACGTGCGGCGGCGGAGCACGCTCGACTGCCAGCAGCCACGGCTCTGGCCGGCTCCGGCGCAGGCGGCTCGGCGCCGTCGCCCGACCGTGGCGCCGCCCAGGAGCGTCCGTTGTCATCACGCCACGGTCAGCGGACGTTGTAAGCATTATCAACGCACCTGTTGCATGGGAGCATTTTGAGAACAGATCAACGATCAAAATGGTCAACGTCAATAACTGAATCACGCAGATATGTAGTATGTACGGACCTACGTACATTTATACTTGTTAAGTTGTACCTGCATGGAGTATAACCGCATCCTTGATCTCTCCCATATGATTATCGTGTTTGTAACAAGTGTGGCTCTTTGTACTGGGCTATGCGAGGGCATTTGGGACGTGACCATGCCCTACTTACGCATACTTAGCCAAGCATGCACTCTATAGCGCAATTTTAATATAATTTGCCAAGGTGGTCACGCTAGCAGCGTTGGCGCAGTCGGACTGCATGTCAGCCATTCAGAGATCCGACCATTGTTTTTGGATTATCGCCAACGCGAATGACATGAATGCTCACGAGGCGTTTCGGACGGTTATGTCTCCAGCCGTAGTGATATGTCATTCAGTGCCGATAGGGACCTGAGAGGGTCTCGCACTCGATAGTGTAGCGGTCAGCGTTTTGGTCTACGGTTACATGATCGTGGGTTCGAAGCACATAGCCGGCAAGTACCTTCGAGGTTATAGTGCATGCATTGCTGTAACATCCTAACATCCTCAGGTTTTCATCATGTTCGGCTAACCACACTGATAAACCTATCTACACCGATACACCTGACGACAGCGGGAAAGGGAATTCACAGAAATGCCACACTAGCACCATTGGCATGGACACGTGTTTGCGGAAATATTTATTGCTCTAACACCTCATCACAGGCATTCCATAAAACCATCAACTATCTTTGGCTAAAGTCCCAAGGTGGCGAAGGGTCCAATGTCCTCACAAATAACTATACCGTTAACAAATGCTGGTCTAAAACGATCCCATATTCAATCACATTCAGATGTGGAGAAAAAAGGTGTTAGCAGTTGGCAACATATTACACTTGCACTTCGCGGAGGCACTTGTTGCATTTTAGAGCCTCAGCAAATCGACTGCCGAGCTGACCTAGCCTTACCCGCGGCCGCCTGTTCACGGGAAGCTGGCGTGGTATTCGCACTCCTATTCAACGTGGGGTTACGATTGCGCCCAAACTGTCCTCAAGTCAACCTCACCGATTTGTTCAGCAAAACGATGAACGTTTGCTCTCAAGGTCGTCCTTTAGGGTCAAAATCAAAGCAAAATGCCGGGGAGCTCCAAATTGGCTTGAATTATGTCGTCCAATGAAAAATTTAGGATCAAGATGTCGTTTGTCACTTGACCTAGCCTCTGCTGTGTCAACCTGAAACTCTAACTCCACCCGTCAAGGTACAAATCAAAAGGGAATGAACGGAAAGCTCACACGGACAAGAGCTATGACAACCGGCAGTTTTAAGAATAAAAACAAAATTCGTTAACGGAACTAACTGCTTTTTTAGTGGTATACGCCTGTTTGGTGTCATGATCTTGGTCGACAGGCGTAGAGTTGCCCGCCACCGAGTTTTAAAGAGAATGTTTCGCAGTTGAAGATTTTGAAGCGAGCATCAGGTACGCTTAGGCAAGCTGACATAGAATATTGGTATACTTTTTACGTGGAAAAGACTGCTGTAGATAGCACAACTTTCTGGTTACTAAAACTGCTCCTCAATGCGTCATGGTTTCATTCCGTCCGTTATATTTGGAAATCGCGCTCACGAACGTCAGCTATGAACACCTCGGCAATTGCATTTGCCTCGGCATGGCTTGGATCGCCATCGCCGCATGGCTTTTCGAACGGCAAGGTTTAGATAACGTTATCATGCTGTCATGAATGCGAAGTTGATTTTGAAATACTCTCCCCCATATACCTTTTCCTATTTTCGCGGGAGTGTAGTTCAGAAACTAGGGGATTAGGTCTTAAGAGGAGCATGATATTGAACAGCACCGAAAGGTCCTCAAAATGGCTATTTCAGTTCAAACCCTCCATATATAGGTGGAGCGCGCCCTTTTAATTTGGACCTGGAATAGTAAACTTGAATCTGAAAGTCCAGGTTACATTCACAAAAGTTCATCCGAGAGGCACAGCACACTTTGCTGTTTATGACAACCGTAAGTTGTTTAGTGCATTTGCGGGGAGCATTATGCACATAGATGAAACAGCATTCATAGTCATTTTCTTCGTAGAGTAAACAGGAGGATGAAGAGATAGATTTGATATTTTGGGTACATGCCTTTATCGAAACGAAGATCGGTAGTACATTCATTGTGTGATAATGAAAATCCATTCAGCATAATATATAATGCACTAATGATATTTGCTTCGACAAAAGCGTGTTGTCGAAGCGTCACACACATCTGTCCATTCTCCTGCTTATTCTACGAGGATTAAGAATATTAATGCGCCCATTTAACACTCGCCCGGGCGGCCGGTTGGATACCCTTCGCTCGGGTGGAGGTCAATATGACCCCTCTGAGATCTCAGGAACAAAGAGGGCTCTGGGTTCCTGGTACCACCGATACATCAAATTCACAGGGTGTGTTGGCCTGCACGTGAACTTACTTGAGTCAAAGTTTGGGCCTCCTATGTCATGACCTTCGGGTCGAATAAGGTCAAACAAAGCTAAACTCCAAGCTGGTCTCCCAAAGTGTCTCCAGAACCTAGATACCTGTTCTAAGCAAAGGTCACGCGCTCATTTGATGTCAGTGGCCTGTTTTGACCTTTAGAAAGTCGTGATGACAGGAATCATATAAGACTGCTTTGAATATTGCATTTGAATAAGCGACAAAGAGTGCGGTTGGCAATATGCCCCTGAAAACAAAATCTTGGCCTGGGTCATTTTAGGTCATTGGCCTATTCTGACCTTTAAGAAGTCCATGGAAGATGTTTTACGTGGTATCAATCAATTCGAAATGAGCACCAGAAACCACCCAGTGCGGCGAGCCCCAGAGTAATAAAACAGATTGGTTTTGACCTTGGTTCGATCTTCATACCTGACCCAAGGTCAATGAAATTTGGTCCTTCAATGGCTGTTGCCTAAGAAAGTATTTCAGAGGCGTACAGCTTCGTCTGACACTCTGCTGCTCCATCAGATTGGACGATTTCCTAGAAATTAACTTCGTGGAATCCGTGTGCTGATTTTGACCTGCCTTAGGTCAGCGATCTTAAGAGGCTCATCTAATTTCTTGATGCCATAAAATCCGCCATTCAATTGTCTACATTCTTGCAAAATGTAAGGCGGGTGCGCCGCGCCGTTCTGAAACCATTCCAGAAAGGCCCTTGGGGGAGTCAATTTGACCCTCACCCGAGCGCGTTTTAAAACAGCTGATTTGGGGCCATGACATTGGTCGATAAAGAGTGGGTCGTTCCTGGACCTTGATCTGGACCCTGATGGCCGACGTTGGGGGCTGACTTCCTGACAACGGCCAGTCCGGATGCCTGCTCTTTATATTCGGAACGCCCGGAGGGTTGCCCGGTAAGAAACGAACCAGGAGGATGTTGTCGCCGTTGTGATTTGGCAAAACGGCATAAGTAACGGTCGAGCACAGTAACTGATTAACCGACTTATTTAAGGAATGTGGACCGAAAAGTGGTAAAAATCGCAGTGATAAGCTGACTCGAACTTGAACCAGCAGCACGCGACCTAGCCGTAGCTTCTTAACTAGGTTACTGTTATGACTGTTATCACTGCATTGTTTTGACTGCTATGGATCATGAAATGGTTCAGTAATCATCGTATCTGGTCAGAAGTTCTCCACGATGCGTAGTTAAGACTTCATGCGGCGGAGGTTATCTCGGCGATTTGTGGACGAAATCGGCCAGGGCTGCCAATTTTCATTTGAACCGCTAGGATGCGAGTTAGATGCCGAGAGCTCTGCTCAGTGGCTAATTTTAACACCGATGTGACCGCCGTTTGCCGCGTATTTCAGCTGGCGCTGGGTGAAAACAGGAGAGCACTCCCCTGAATACTCCAGTGCGATCCCAGCAGTCATTCCAGCCACGAGAAAACATCTGACGCGCGCGTAGAAGGGTCGGGCTTCCAGCCTGTCACGGCTGTAGATCGGTGTGCGGCCGGGCCGTTTACGCGGGCAGTCCCTTGACCCGCCGAGAACGACCTCGCCTGTGGATTGGCACGGCTGCGGTGGGCTGATGGAAACAATCTCCGCCTGTAGAGTAATGTGCGGGCTGGTCTGGAGAGCGAGAGAGAGAGAGAGAGGGGGGGGGGGGGGGGGGGGGGAGAGCGAAAGCCTTAAGGTAACGGGACGAACAGGGCGAAAATGCCTCCTTCCGCCACTTTGTCAACACAGCATCCCGATGCTCTGTGTATTGCAAATTGGCAACATTCAAAGAACACCCCAGGCCATTGCAGAACCGTTCCATTATGCAGACAAACACGATAATACGGGGCTTACAGTCTGATTTGACGGGCGCCCGGCCAGCAGCCTGTGGAAGGGCCTTCCGGCACGATACGGACCAGCGTCCGGTATAGTCCGACAGCGCCGCCTATATAAGTACACGCTTAAGTCACTGAATAGACGGCGCCTGCGTCGGGCATCCGCGCGCGCCGGCCGCGGGGCGGTGCGAGGAGTCCGCGCCGGAGACCGAGAGCGACTGCTGGCCAGCACAGCGAACATTCCAGGGGCGGCCGCATACGCGAGGCTCCCGACTAGAACGGCTCGTCGGCAGCCGGAGAGCCGCGCCTTAAAACCGCCGCGAAACGTGGCTTAAAACATGAACGCACACAATCAAGCACACGCACACAGCTGCAGCCAGGCGCAAGAGCCACGCCGAGAACGGTTCGGCTGGTGGCTCTTCGCCAGTATTTCACCAAACATGTTTTTCATGTCCCGAGCCCCGCAATGTGTTGCAGAATTACCTCACCAACGTGCATCCTCATCGATTCAGTGCCACCTTTCTCCTGCAATTATCCTTACGTTCGCAGCGATAAATACTCCATCCAGATCTAAGCATCACGCAACAGCGAAATCCTGGCGGTCGCCCTTCGTAAAAGCCGGCCGCTCCAGGCACTGTGTCTCGCACAAGTTTCGGTCAATTTCGTTGAAACTGCGACTACAAAACACGCACACATAAATAACGTTCCCGGCTAATCTCATGCTAAAACGGGGGCCAGTGGCGGCAGCGGCGGCGGCGGTCCCAGAGGTCGACGCCAGGCGTCGGCGCCAGCCAGTCTGACCGGCCGTGGCGGATGGGCCAAGCCCAGCGGCCGGCCTCAGACGCGACCGCGATCCTCCAGATCGAGGTGGACGCAGGACCCGCCACTGACGCGGCCGGACCGGGCCACGACTGCGCCCCGGACCGCCCACGAGCGCGCCGGCGACACCCCCGGCCGGCCAGCCCAGCCGCAGGCCAGCTAGGCAGGATGGACGCCCTAGTCGGCCACCGGGCTGACTTTGGACCATCCCGTTGGCCGGCGCGGGGACCAGCCAGCACCACGCCGGGACCGCCCGCTGCCGCTGGCCCGACCTCGGACCGGACCGCCGGCTGGCGCGGGGACCAGCCAGCACCGCACCGGGACCGCCCGCTGCCGCTGGCCTGACCTTGGAACGGACCGCCGGCTGGCGCGGGGACCAGCCAGCACCGCACCGCGACCGCCCGCTGCCGTGGCAAGACTGAGGCCGCACCGGACGCCGATGACTGCCGGCCAGCCACGCTGTGCCAACCGCATCACCTTGACAGCTGTTGGACATAACAATCGCAAACAAGCAGCAAAAGCCGTTGTACACCAATATTATGTTCGTTTGGTTGTCTTCTTAAGTTGCGGCGCCTCGTGGAGTGATTAAGACTGCCTCGGCGCACCAACAGCGGCTACTGACTCTTCTCCTTCTCCTGGGTCATGCGCCCGTGCCAGGTCAAGAATATCTTGGCGTACTCCGGCTTCTTCTGCGCATGCGCACGGAACTCCTCTGTAGGACGCGAAACAAGTTGTTTACCATTCTACCAACGTGTGCCTAAGTGCTATGCCCACCAGATATACGCACGCCGTAGAACACCACCAGGCGCTACACCCCATCGCAGCGCGCCCGACAAAGCCCCCACAGCCTTCCAGCACGAGCAAAGACATCCTCACACCAGCGCAGGGTTCATACGGGGATACCGATACCCACGCCTCCTCCCACCCTCACACAAAACATCTACACGTACGCACGCACGACGATCAACAGATCAACGAACGATCAACGATCAACAGATCAACAGATCGACGATCGATCAACGATCAACAGATCAACAGATCAACGACGATCGACAGATCGCTACCCTGAGCCCGCCGCGCCAGCGCCGGCGGCGCCACTCACCGAACGTAATGTAGTCGTCGTGCGCCTTCTGCACCTGCTGGAAGAGCCGGGCGCTCTCCTGCTCCGTCATGCTCAGCGTGTGCGCCAGCGCCTTGGTCACGTCACGCTGCGTCACGTGACCCTTGCCGCCGAGGTCGAAGAGTCGGAACGCCAGGCGAATCGTCTCCTCCGTGTTGCACGGCTTGGAGATGAGGCTGACGCCCAGCAGGTACTCGCGGAAGTCGATCACGCCGTCCCGGTCCTGGCGGAGGGGAGGGGGAGAGGGGGAGGGGGCGCGTCAGAGCACGGGCCGCGCCGTCCCGATGCTGACGGCGGCGGCGTGTAGCACGCGTTATTGTCGAAGGGGACCAGGCTGCGTGTGGAAGGAGCGTGCTGCTCATGTGCGGTCTTAAGGCGGACGCGCTGCAAAATTGTGTGCAAAAAAGACGCATAGACGCAAAAAGACGCAAAAAAGATTCGTGACCCGAAAGCCACGTCTGGTCACAGAACGGCGTTGCATGGACAAAACCTACTTGATATGCTGTGGTGTCGCGTTGTTTTTGTTGACGCTGCTATTTTTACGCAGTTTTGTTGCGACAGTTTAGACCCCTACGTGTGTTATCATTCCGTCGACAAGTCCCAAGCGATCCACAGCCGGCGCGGTGCCAGCCAGTGCCCGACTCTGTCAGGGTGGGCCGCACGCTGACCCAGGCACCGAGCCGTCCCGGCCGGCACCGGCCCGCTGATCCCGGCATCGCACCGAGCCGTCCCAGCCGGCACCGGCCCGCTGCTCCCAGCACCGAGCCGTCCCAAACGGCATCGGCCCGCTGATCCCGGCACCGCACCGAGCCGTCCCAGCCGGCATCGGCCCGCTGATCCCGGCACCGCACCGAGCCGTCCCAGCCGGCACCGGCCCGCTGATCCCAGCACCGCACCGAGCTGTCCCAGCCGGCACCGGCCCGCTGATCCTGGCACCGTGCCGTCCAGCCGGCACCGGCCCGCGTGCCCCCGCTGACCCCGGCACGGAGCCGTCCCAACCGGCACCGGCCCGCTGACCCCGGCACCGAGCCGTCCCAGCCGGCACCGGCCCGTCGCCACGCGTCTCACGCGGCGGTCGGCTGGTCGTCGCGCCCACTCACCGAGTCGTACAGGTTGAACAGCTCTACCAGCCCAGGCTCAGACGTGGGGATGCCCAGGTAGGCGGCGAACTCGGTCAGCCGGATTAGGCCGTCCGTCTTGCGCGCGATCTCCGCGAACGACTCCATCTCGGCCTCGATGGTGGACATGTTGATGCCTAGCTGGTGCATCAGCTTGGTGACCTCGACCAGGCCGGTCTCGCAGGGCAGATTGTTGGCACGCGCCTTGCTCATGAGTCGGCAGTCGTCGTACGTGTAGTCGGTGACAGGCACGCCCAGCGCCCTGCCGCCGTGATACGCAGCGTCAGGCGGCGCCGGCCACCCCCACCCACCGGCACGGTACGGTACGTCACGCCACGTCACGTCACGCCACGTCGTCACGTTACGGCACGGCACGACACGGCGCTTACGGACAACGGTTGGGAGAGACGCGGACGTTCGAAGACCCGGCACATGACCAGGAACAAAAAGAGGGTACATTGAGCCCCTAGTGTTTATTGGACCAGCCCACATGCAACCCCAGTCCGAGAAAATGTAGGATATTCGTCCCGGACGCGCAAAAATATGGCCGGCAATGTGACAGCCCAAAACACCTACCAAGGAAAGAAGCCGCTTCATGACAATGCTATAATGTACCATCACAAAAGGGCAGTTATGTATGCTTAAATGTATCTGTTTGTTGCACGCGTCCACGCTAAAAGCGAGCATTTAAGTATTCAGAGCCACTTCGAACGCCATTGAGCAGAGCATGTACGATGCAGTATTTCCGCACACTTACGTGAGTTGTTCAGTGCGTTTGCGAAGAACAATATTCACATAGATAAGACAGCAGCAAAAGCCTTATCCCGCGGAGAAAAACCAGGAGAACGGAGATATAGATGGGTTGATATTTCTGCAACATGCCTCTATCGAAATAATAGCAGGAGTGAATTCGCTTTCTGCTATTGTTTCCATAAAGGCATGTTGCCGAAATATCAACCTATCTATACCTCCATTTTCCTGGTTTTGCTACGATGAATAAGACTATTGCTAATGTCTTTTCCGCAACTTTTCGACTCAGAAGCCCCAGTTTATCCGACCAGGCTATGCAGTCGCGCCACTCACTCTGCCATCTTCGCTCGGACGTTGTGCGCGTACAGTCTGGGGTTCTCCTTCTCCTCGTCCGACGGCACGTACACGGGCAGGTACTCAATCTCACAGAAGCTCACAAACTGTGTCAGCGTGAGCCAGAGTATCTTCCAGCTGCGGGAAGCACGGCGTGGGTCAGCGCCGTCCGGCGGGCCACGTGCTGAGCGGGAGGGTTCCGATCGGGACCCCCTGGCCGAGGCCGGGGTACACACTGTGGTATGACGCCTGTCAGCGCCGTCCGGCGGGCCACGTGCTGAGCGGGAGGGCTTCGATCGGGATCCCTGGCCGAGGCCGGGGTACACGCTGTGGTATGACGCCTGTCAGCGCCGTCCGCCGGGCCACGTGCTGAGCGGGAGGGTTCCGATCGGGACCCCCTGGTCGAGGCCGGGGCACATACTGCAGCACGGCGCCTGTCAGCCGGCCGGCCGACCAATCGCAGCTCACACACCGCGGGCTGGGGGGGGGGGGGGGAGGCGTCACACGACCTCGGCCCGGGAGGCGCCACACGACCTCAGCCCGGGAGGCCCGGGCCCGACCTCGGACAACTGGCCAACACAAAATGCTTGCGGCAGGAAGTGCAGATAGGAAATGTAGTTTTTCCACTGAGTTAATTCCAGAAGAACGCAATCGAGGCAGTATGTGTCCAGTAGAAGCAGCAGCATTTTTGAAATGGCTTCCGCTGTAAGAGGCAACGTTCCAAAAGGCGCAATGATGCCATCACACCCTATAGGCAGGAGCATCTGACCCAGTGCTGACCAGTTAAAGATGCCCGACACAAATGCCCAATCACGGCATCTGGCGTGTATGAATGTGAGCTTTCTCGCAATCGTATTACCAGGGTGTAATGTTAGCGCATTACACTGTTACTTTCGTGAAATACGTACGCGGTACTTAAATTCATGACGAAGTCAGGTAGCTTGTACTGCGGTACTCGACAATAACCTTGATTTCGCCCTAACCATCTTCGACAAATATCATAAACTACCTACGTTCTCACGCTAATAATCAACAAGATTAGATGAGCAAAAGCGTAGCTATAGTAGTGCTCTCACTCATCTGCAGCTTAGATAAATGTAAAAGACTGCAATCAGTTTCAGGAAAGATGTCGATACAACAGCCTGCGCTGAACTCGCATTTTTCCCGAGGATTCCCAAACATTTCCCGCAGCGCCGTCCCATACCACATTCAGGCATTCTTCTCGAGAATTCTCAGACGTTTCCTGCAGCGCTACCCCATACGACATTCATATCAACTTAGTTTGTACAGCGCGGAGCGTTTTGCACCTGCCAAACACAAACTATGCGATCCCATGCACCGCAATCTCTGATGACGACGCTGCAAACGAAGACCAGGCGCCGGGATGAGCCTCGCCGCAGCGTCGGCGCCGAGGCCCAGCCACCAACCTGAGCCGGCGGCGACAGGGCAGGGCAGGGCAGGGCGGGGCAGGGCGGGGCGGGGCGGGGCGGGGCACGGCACAGCAGGGAGCGGCGGGGAGCGGCGGGGAGCGGCGGGGAGCGCGGGGCGCGACGGGGCGCGACGAGGCGCGACGGGGCGGGGCGGGGCGGGCGGCGCGGCGCGGGGTCGGGTGGTGTCGGGTGGGGTTGGCGCACGGCAGCCACTCACGCGCCAGGCCCCTCCCAGGTCCACGTGACCGTGTCCAGCCGGTTCGGGTAGCGCACCACCACCGGCTGCACGGGCGCGCCCGGGTAAAACGCGCCCGGCTTGAACTGGATCAGGCACGACCGGTTGGTGCACGTGCCCTCCGGAAACAGCAGGATCTGCCGGAGAATGCGGCGCGGCGGTCACACAGCTGCCGGCCGAGCACTCGTGGGCAGCACCGCGTCCAGAGGCGAGGGCGGCTGGCGGGCGGGCTGACACACCGCAGAGCGCAGAGTTCCGGATGGGCAGCCATATTGTCTTCCAAGGCGAAACATACGACTGCCGGCCGGCGGTTTACGTCGCACACATCGAGCGGCCAGTGTCGCATTTCAGGCTCACACAGGCATCCGCAATCGAAACACCCTCACACCTCCAGCACGTATAACCTGAATATATATATATATATATATATATATATATATATATATATATATATATATATATATATATGGTACTTATTGAGATATACAACTGGCATAAACGCCACGGCAGGGACGTTAACGCCAAGGCACCCTATCACCAACACCCGTGCCAAATACGGTGGCACGGAGAGAATGCAGGCCACCAAACCGGTTCATTTCCCCGAGGCGGCACAGGAGATAGCGTCGGCCGTCGGCCGAGCCGGGGCCAGCGACAGCCACGCACCTGAGGCCACTCGCCGCCAGAGTGGGCGCGCCTCTGGATCTCGCGGATGGTGTTCTGGCGCGAGTTGGGATCCTCGCGCGACACGTACACCGGCTGCGTGTAGTCGATCAGCTCTGAAACGCACCGGCCGCCGCCGGCCTTACATCGGCACCATGGGCGCGCGCACACACGGGGTGTGACCGAGCTAGGGCGCGCGAGCGCGTTTTGGCGATCCACTGAGGCGTCGGCAATGCAATGACGACGCACGAAGCGGACAGCACGAACTAGGTCCAGTCCACGAACAACTATGCATTGTTAACCACTATTTTAACCTATGCAGCTTTGCTTTCAATTCGACCGCATCAGCAACAACATCAAAACAGGGGATGAAGCCGAAACGATGACAAGCGTTACCGACCGTAGATCGCGCGTCACGCCTACGCTACCAAGGCCACCCAATACAGACTAAGACAGGCGAAGCAAGTGAAGACACGATGCAAGGACAGGGGAATAAAAGAAGACAGAGATTACAAGACCCGTAATGCCGTACTCATTGCCTTACGTAATGCCTCCGCTTCAATACTGTCTTTTTATAGCTCGACGACATCTGTAGACGATCAATTTGCAGACATGTACAGAGCACGGCTCGCTGCCATCCACGTCCCGCGGTCGTATGTTTACAAATACACAGCCGTCTAACCAAACATCCGTCCTGCAATGCTCCGCTGTCGACGACGGCCTCGCCACGGCCGGCACAGCCCCGAAGCCCCAGCGGCGGGACGTACCAAGCACGGCCGGGCGCCGCGACTGGCGCGGCCGGACGAGCGCTGCCCGGCGCGTGACCCCCTGTCGCCGGGACGAGCGCGGCGCGCGCGGGGCTGGCATCGCGCGCCGCCGCCGCGTCTGCCTGTCACGCCTGCCTCGGGTCGTGACCCGCACCTACCTCGGCCGACGGCGGCCCGCCTCCGGCCCGGAGCGGCGGCCACACGGAGCACGGTCTACGGCACCTACCTGGGGGGTCGCGTCCGCTGTGACCCGGCGCTTTGGAGAACTGACAACGAGGACGGCACGAGACGGACACCCCAATCCCTGGACTCAGACGCAGTCAGATGGTGAAAGGAGGGACTGGCGAGGCCAGATGATGGTGGGGAACAAGGGATTCCACATGGTACGGATAGGGATTGAGAAGATCAGACAGTGGGGGGAGGGGAGGGGATAATGGAGGTCAGTGGTGGTGGGGGGGGGGGGGGACAAGGCAGGTCAGATGGTGCTGGAAGGAACTGGGAAGGTCACACGGTGGTGGGGGGACGAGGTCAGGTGGTGGTGGGGGGACAAGGGACGTCAGATGGTGGAGGGGGCACACGGGAGGTCAGATGGTGAGGGGGACAAGGGAGGTCAGATGGTGGGGTGGGGGGGGGGGGCAAGGGACGTCAGATGGTGCTGGAAGGGACTGGGAAGGTCAGATGGTGGTGGGGGGACAAGGTCAGGTGGTGGTGGGGGGACAAGGTCAGGTGGTGGTGGGGGGACAAGGGACGTCAGATGGTGGAGGGGGCACACGGGAGGTCAGATGGTGAGGGGGACAAGGGAGGTCAGATGGTGGGGTGCGGGGGGGGCAAGTGAGGTCAGGTGGTGGAGTGGGGGACAAGGAAGTCAGACGGTGGCTGGTGAAACAGGCAAGGCCAGGCGGCGACCAGACCTGAGACACGTCAGGAGGTGGCGTAAGGCACTGGGACCGTCGCTGGTGGCGGAAACACCAGCCGATGGTGGCAGCGTCGGACGGCGGCGGTGAAGCACCCCCGGAAGCGGTGAGACACGTACTGCCGAAGAACGGCATGCCGATGGTCTGGCTGCGGCAGATGATGGACGGCAGGCCGGAGCAGAAGAGCACGATGGCGTCGCCGAAGGTGGAGTGGGGCGCCGCCACCATCACCGGCACCTCGGTGGAGTGTTGGCCGCGCTTGCGGATCACCCAGCCGCTCAGGTAGTAGGCGACGCGCGCATTGGCCGCCTGCAGCGGCCGCATCCGACTGTGGTGGGGCCGGGCGGCGTCAGAGGCCCCTCTCTCCCGGCCGGCGGCGATCGGGCCGGGTCAGGTCAGCTCGGGCCGGGTCACGTCACGTCAGGTCAGGTCAGGTCAGGTCGCCGAGTCCAGACAGCCGAGCGGGCCGCTCCCGCCGGGCGGCGCCGTCGCCTGCGGCCTCTGCGTGGGTGGCAGATGGGGGGCCGCTCGCGCGCATGCAGCGGGGAACAGAGCGCGCGGCGTCGGCCGATCGGTTAGTCACCGCCACCGCCGAAGTGGCGGCCGCGCTGCCTGACAGGGCGCCGCCAGCCGGCCGGCCGGCCGCGCCAGGCTACCAGCAACCGCTGACACGGACACGCACACCAAGCAGACTCCCGTGACACTGGGACCAGGGTTGGCTGCCGCCCGCTGAAAGTCGCTGCCAGCCGGATTCTACCGGTTAAAACTGGCTGGTGGCAATTACGAATGGCAAAAATGGCAGAAATTGGCAAAAATTAAGTGCACCGTAGTACACTGTGGGGTAATGATGGCGTTTGGTGACAAAACAAAGCAACCACTGCATGATAGAAGTCATTATGTTATTAAGCAGCCTTTTTTCATCGTAAGAGATAAGGCTGCTGCAGAAAATAGCTGAACAGCGGTTGTACATTCCACTAGCGCCTTCCTCAGATCATAGAGAGAACAACGTTACAAGCGAGGCCTCGCTTCAAGCCAGGCCAGACCACGCTAGACCAGGCTTGGCACTGGCAACCACGCGCGGGCACTTGGCAGCATCCAGCTGGACCGATTTCTACCAGCCGGTTATGAGTGTAACCCAAACTCGTGAAAAGAAGGTAGCAGAAGCTACTGGTGCCAAGCTAGGAGAGTCCGCCGAAATACTTCATATAATCTTATGCAAAACATTGCACTAACACTATCAATAAGATGTAAATGTTTGTTTAGGCCAACTACATCACAAAAATTATCATGAGCGCCTGGTTGGTTGATCATCGCATACTGGGAATCAAGCGGCAAAACGGACCCTGGAGTGATGATTTATTCAACCCAGTGATAAGCACAGCTATTACACCTGCAAGCTTGTAACATACCAATCGGGCGTTTCGCACAAGCACAGGCGTAATGAACTTGGCGAGCCCAGGTTCACATTCCCCATCCATATCACAAAGGTGGCAACGCCACGCCAGAAAATGGCTGACAGAGCTCTCTCTCTCTATTTATGTCAGCCATTTTGACTATTATTTCCCTAATTTGCCGATCAGTTAGTGCTGACTGACATGATGCAGATTATATGATGCTCCGTTTCTGCCAAGCTCATTTGTATGATGTTATATATCTGTATCACGTGCTGGATAATGCATCCGTGCCTCCGAGTACAGTCTGTCACCGAAATAGTCCCGCATCACACAAGCCACGGTCATGATGCTGGGGCAAAGGCTCGCGTACCAATGTATGCATTAGTTATAGCAAACGCGCCGATTGTTTTGAGCATGCTGCTGACCAGTGTGCTTTCCAGGTGTGTTGACTGGATAGAAAACACCAGTGACCGAAACATGATGCCTAATTGGCCGAACAGAAGCCCTATGGATTGCTGATTTTCAGCCACTTTACGCCAATTTCATCTGGCAGAAGCCAGTAAAAGCCAGAAGGTGGCAGCGTCTCCTTTCAGCCGGCTGGCATGCAACCGTCACTGGGACCCTCCACTACGTCCCGGGCCTTAGCCAAGCTACAAAACAAAGGGGGCCAGCGAGAGAAGAGCTGGTTGGAGGAAAAGTGACGGGAAGGGGTGAAAACTTGGGCCTTGACTCACCGAACGACATGGCGATTCGACGAAGATTCAGGGCTGGAAAGATCTCTACCACTTCATTGGCGACAAGTCTCTAGTTCAGAGCCACTACGTATCGTAAAAACAGTGTACGATGCAACTACAAACCAGAGAGAGGTGACGATACAAAAAAAGAAACGACTCCGGGTCCCTTACTACACAGGCAGTCACCATCACGGGGCGTCTCGAACTTACTCCCCTCCACTCGTTTGTCCGTGCCGGAGAAGAGCGCAGACCGTTGCCGAGCGAGCCCGTGCGCGTGCCGTCCGGACTCCCTCGCACCAGGGGCATGTCGGCGCCCGTCCGGCCCTCTGGCGCCGCTGTCTCCTCTCGCCGCACGGCGCAGGCTAGGCTCAAGCGGCCGGCCGGCGCGCGACGGCAGCAACGCTCGCTCGAGGCCCCTTACCGTCATTCTGCAGCGGCGCGCGATGCCAGGTCTCCGGCAGTAAGGTCACGTGACCCGGGCAGCGCTCGTCCCGACCACCGCCGCAGGCTATCGAGGTCGCCGCTAGGACGCGTCTGCGCGACCCGACCAGGCAGCTACATTAACGGACAAGACGTGACTTATTTAGCGACGCGCGTCGCATGCCGCAACAAGAAAGACATCCAGAGTGCAGACGGAGGCAAAACGGACAGGCATCAGACCGTGGGGCATGCCACGACGACCTGCACAGACAGGAGTGGGAGAGGCGCACACCCAACACGCATAGCGATGCCCAGCCAGCCACCGACTGCTCAGCATGCGGTCACGAAGCGTGCAGCATGCGGTCTAGCCGGCCGGCCAGTGCGCGGACGAGGCGGGGTGGGCGGCGCGCCGGCGGGAGCACCCGGTCGATGACGTCAGGTCGTGACGGCCGGCGCCCGGTGGCGGCGCGGCCCCGGCCATGCCCCGCCGCCTGGCAGTGTGCGCCACTGACAGCCCCAGGCGGCGCGCCCGGACCAGCGGTGCAGCTGGACGCTTCTACCGAGCCCGGCCCGCCCGAGCCGCTACACAGACGTGCGCCGCCGAACCGAGTCGGGTCGGGTCGGGTCGGGTCAGGTCAGGTCAGGTCAGGTCAGGTCAGGTCGGGTCGGCCGGACGGAGACGGACAGCGCGTGCCAGGGCACACCGAAGGCCGGGCGAGGAGGGAGAGCTAGACACAGAGCGAGGCCGGCGGCGCCGACAGAGAGCGAGCCGAGGATGGGAGCGAGGCGGAGTAGGACGGTGTCGAGGAGAGCGCGCGGCCGGCCCCCGGCCAGAAGCTGAGGCCGCGCCCGGCCTGCCCCCGGTACCTACTGCCGAACATGGGCGAGCGGGATGTTTCGATTTTGGCGACGACGCTGGGCGCCGCCATGACGATCACGGGCAGCACGTCAAAGTAGCTGGAGTGCGGCGCCACGACCAGCACCGGTGCCTGGACGGCGTCGGCGCGCTGGCCACGCACGCTCACCCAGGGGAACCCGGCCGACACGAACACGGACCGGGTGCAGAAGAGCACCACCCAGCGCAGCCATCTGCGCAGCCGGGCCGGCGTCACCGGGGGCGGGGAAGGGGGGGGGGACGCACATGGCAGCAGGGGAGGGAGAGGGCGGGGTGCGAACTGGGCGCACAGGCGGCGGCGGGATGGCCGGGGACGGGACATACACACTGGCGACAACGCCGCTAGACGGGCGGCACACTTCTGCGGCGGGGCAACAGCGTCGACTTTGTAGACATGGGCGATGGAAGCAAATTGCAATTGCTTAGAAGCAAAGCCAACACTGATTGCATGGGGCGTAACAGCTTCTTTACTGCATCCATCAGCAAACACTGCATCTGGTGACAATATCACTGCACGATTGTGGGAAACCCACTGCTTTGGAAACACGGTAAGCATGTCTCACAATAAACCAGTGCCAGTGTACTTAGTCTGTGTCTCGCGCACGGCCGACGCAAATAACCAAGGCGATTGGTGCGAACATAAAACTCAGTGACTAACTGCCTAGCGAACGACGCGAAGGCAAAACCAGCAGGCGGTGAAGTTGGATGACACCTGCCAAGGCCGGCCTCTCGCGCACGCTGCGACGCGTGGGTCAATGCCAAAGGCCGGAACCGAGCCAGAACTCAGTCCGGCATCGATGCCAGCTCAGGGATATGCCGGGCGGACACCAGCCGTTACCAGCCTATCGACGCTGCCTGTCGCGGCGGCTTCGCGGCGGCTTAGCGGCGCTAACCCCCCGCAGCGTGCTGAGCTCAGGCCGGGGCGGGGGGGGGGGAGGGCATGTCTGCGCTTGGCGAGCCCCGCAAGCCCGTGAGAACTACGGGGTGTGTATGCGTGTCATTGGGGCTGTACGACGCACTCAGCTGCCAGGGCTATATGGCGTCGCCTGCCTGTCACCCTGGCAGGAAGGGCGGGTACCGCGGGGAACTCAACACCGTACCTCTGGTTTCCCAGACGCGCAATGGCTAACGCAGACGCGTTAATCGCTACACTACTGGCACCCCCGAGAAGCACGAAAAGCGACAACCGAAAGGTCAGGTCAAGGAGGCATCTATGCCTGGCTTTGTGGGTCTCGTACCTCCCACGCCGAAACTCAAAAAGGAGGCGCTACATCCGAACCCTAGACGGGACTGCAGGGGGCCCGGGTAACGTGCGTCAGAGCGTCGGACGCTTCGGCGCCCGTCTATTCTCAGACGGCAGCGCACAGGTCTGAGCCGCGTACAGGGCCGAGTGTCCGCGCACGCGTGACTGTCAGTGTGCGTGTCTCCGCTGTGCGGGGTCGGCGACCAGCGTGCGCGAGCACGTGCGGCTGGCGGCACCTCTAGCCAAGCCGGCACCGGCGGGGGTGACCTGACCTGCGCCATCCCCGCAGCGGCCGGTTGTGGTCCTCCTCCGACAGGCCGTACAGGCCGATGCAGGCGAACACCCAGCCGAACAGCACGCACAGGCAGAGGCCGACGATCCGCAGCGGCAGCACAAACACCGTCAGCACGGCCACCTGGCGGCGACCCGGCCAATCACGCGCTAAGTGACGGTCAAGGCCGGCGCGCGCAACGTGTCGCGCTCGGCGGGCGGCGCGGACGCGAGACGCGAGACGCGAGAACACACATCACAAGACTCGCCGTGCAAGACTGGACAGACCACACCGGGTGCGGCGAGGACGAGGGACGCTTCAGGGGGTGTGGTAACGAGGACGAGCAAGACACGACATGGGGTACGGAAACGAGGACGAAAAAGACATCACGTTGGGTATCGAATAAAGAACAGGGACGAACGTACCAAAAAGGGTATAGGACAAGACCGGACGTAACGACAATTTCGGGCAAAAACGAGGCTGCAAATGACACGTTGTATGCAAAAACAGCAGCCGTGCCATGGTCGGCACAGATCCGATGCTGGCAAACTAGACTCGGAATGACTGCACCACACACTACACCTTGTGATTAAGCTATGTACTGATATGTATATACAGTGAATTACGGACAGCTGAGTCAAAGGAGTGGAATCATGACGGAACTGGTGGTCGATGGTACAGGCGGAGTACCTCACATGATACTTCAACAACCTCCAAAACATGTAGACATGGGAACTTATGACAAAACCTTTGCACTAACCTGGTCCAACATTCACAGGAAAGCCTGCGCCAAATTTGACGCGTCACATGGGGCGCGTGCCGCGATACACATGGCATACCGTCCCACACGGTCCTCATGCCCGGTGGAGACTGGCGGTGGTGGCTACCTTGACTTTGTCATATGTGGAGTTGAGGGCGTCAAGCCGCATCACGAAGGGGTTGAGCACCTCGTGCGGGATGAGGTGGTCCTGTTCCGAGCAGCCGGCCGTCCCCCACTCCTCCTCACTCTCGCCAGACTTCATGGCTGCCAGCTAGCTGCTGCAGCACACAGGCTCTGCAACCAGAGGTGTGGGGTCATCACCACCCACATCCATCCATGCTTCAGGGCATGTCGAGCAAATTCGTAAGGTGTGCTTCCTGGTGTTCAGCCGCATGATATGATGCTGAAGAGAACATGGTGACCACATACCCTGCACTACATGTTCATTGTGAGTGAGCACCAAGCACCAGAGCACCAAGCTGGCTATTTGTATGGTATCACAAATATGAATATAAGGGGATTCAGCCTGATGATTAGTATAGACAGTTTTAAGACAAGACAGAAATGGCAAATCAATTGTCTTAAAGGGTGTCTGGTACATTTTTGTATCTATCTTATTGTTAGATCTGACCCGCCCGATTTGACGATACCAGTTTTCTTAAAAATTTCTGAATAGCTCAGATTTACAGTTTGAAGTAGCCTCTCCTGCTGGGGGAATCTCACTGGAAATCTTCCATCCCATCATGCACGTGATGTGTTTAATTTGCCTCATTTTTTACAACAGATGTGTTTGCAATGTTTGCAACACACTAGCTTGTCAATGTGCTTTGGTAACAAATGCTACCAAAGCTTGAAACACTTTGTTTAGAGAAATAAAGGATGCAAACATTAGGCAATTATCCCACAAACTCAACAAAATGCTGTACTAGGTTTTGATTTCTCCCCTAAGGTGTTCACCACAGTGACTCTTTTCCAGGCTCACTTTGGTTTAGGTTATCACAGCTATGTATGATAAACATATGATGTATGATGCAGCACGTGGTCCATAGCCACACACTGGTTTAAACTTCAACCAATGCACTTCTCAGTAACTGACCCTTGCTTCCCTCTGTGCCAACCACAAACTTCATTTGTACTGGCCTCCTTCACACCAGAAGAGGTACCACTTTTAAGCACGCCACACACAGCAACATGCGGATCAGAATAGTCAAAAAGTGGTACCTCTAACCCGCAACAGCTGACTAGCCTGCAACAGATTCTGCCTCCTCATGACAACATGTGGGATGACCGCAGCTGTTATGGAAAAAGTGTAGTGCTGTTACCAAAGTGAAGAAAGCATTATGTGAAATTGTAATTGATATTAAAATGTTAATCATTATCTCTTGTTGGTGCTTCAGTGCCAGTACCCAGTACTTCTCTTACTTGTTAGTGGTCCTATGCTTTCACCAGTGTTTTTTTTTCAATGCCTGAAAGGTGGGATGCCCTATTTAATTGTAGCCTTGCTACCACTAAGTGTTATGGTAATATTTCACCAATGATGCATTTTTCTTGTTCCAACTAATTTCATGCAGAGCCTTCATGGTGCCAAAAGTGTGGTGGTTAAGGTGTCTGCATTAAACTGCAGCCTATGAGTCTAGGAAACCAGAGGAACCCTGTTTGATTCCCTGCTGTGGTCATCTTTTCTGCCAGGGGGAGGGGCAGGTGATGCCATATAGCCTAAGCAGATGAGTGTTGTAAAGCCTCAATGACACATACATAAACCATCAAATCCTAAGCCTAGATCCAGCAGCTGATAGTGACAGCATGACAGCATTGGGATAAATATGGTTCAGGATGCTTTTTTCTCAACATGGACACATAGCCAATGTCAATTTTTCTGAGTTCCTGGGAATAGCCACACCAAACCCAAGCTGTTATCTACACATAAATGGTACACAATTTCACAAAGCAATAGCATGCTCCAGTACCTCCAGCAATGTTTGTACATGAGATCAAATTTTGCTGGTAGTATGAGCCAAGTACACCTATGCTGTGTGCATCATCTGAAAACCACACCACAATTTAAATGTGCATCACCAAATTAACTCGCTGATGATAATGTGTGGAAAACAAAGCGGTGGGATTTATAGCAGGTAAGTTATTGTTTCCTGAAGCTCTTCACAGGATGGTGTGATATTGGGTGGGGTTATTCAGGATTACTTGTTGGTTAATAATCTGTGATTTCAAACAAGGTTTGGTCATACAAAGCATATGTGCTTTTATCCTGCATTGCTTATATTTTTCTGTATGACACATGTAAAAGAAATAAAGTCCCTACAAGGGAGTAGAGAAACATGAATAAATGTGTGTATCCTATAAGAAAATCATAAAACTTACACAAAGTTAACAGCAAAATATAGTAGCCTGTCAATAGGATGACAAGTGGCCAGTTTTGCTACACATCCTTGCCAAGATTAAACAGCATTGTCTGATGGAATAAATGACAGTAACAAATAAAGTCCAGCAAATCACAAATAGCAAAAATTAGAATGGTGACTACTCTACAAATCTTAAGTCTAAATTGCCAAAATTATTAAAAGTCCCTGAGGGGATTTGCATAGCCTGAACACCTCTCCCTCTCCCATTACATTTTTCATCCCTGCATGACTATCAGCCTTTGCATTGTGTGACATACCACAGATGAAAATCATTTGAAGCCATTTCAGCCAATGTCTAGCTTGGCAGGCAAAGACATTGTTTCATGACTTCGCCTCCAGAATTCGAAGTTTATGCAACAAGACCGATGATATAATCATCAGCACAAAACAGTGCATCTTGTCTCACATCGCTGACATTTACAACTTCAAATATGGCAGATGTCACACTTCAGAACCTTTGGCATACTTCACCACCAAGAGTCAAATTCGGGTTCGTCTCCAAAACAGCATACACACCACGAAAAACAAAATATAGATATGCTTCAAGCAATTACAAATCCTGACTCCAAATCTTATTGCAGTTGCTAAGCGCGTCCACGAAATGCATGGGTTTCCGACACACCTTAGAAGCTACCGGCAACGTCTTCGATCTGAAATGTCACAGGTCGCTTAAGGACACCTCGCACATTTCATATTACTTCATAGACAACGAAATCCCAACGCCCACCTTTCCAACAGCCCAACGGGACTCAATGCTCGACGGAGAAGTGGGAACGACAACGCACGCTTCCGCCGGTGGCGCCACGCACGGTTACACAAGACACTAATGAACATGTTTCTATTCGGATCGCGTGGACCTGGGCAACGTGTAAATGAAGCAAGATATCGTAAAGAATGAAAACGTTCTATAAGTTTTTAGTCTTTCTTTTTCTGGGAAAAAATATTTTGATGATTCAATGCTCTTAAATTTCAGCGTACAGCATAAGGATGAACCTAACCTAACTGGGCTTGTGGCCTCAATTCGTTCTGCCTTTGGAAGAAACGACTCGTGCCATGCTCAGGCCATTTTAAAGATGCTTCTTAAAAATCTGAAGAATAAAGAAGTTTCCATTCTCTCAGTTTCTCATAATGAGTACAATTGGACCAATTCATATCACAAATGTTTTCATGGCATACATACCAATGGCTTAAAAATTATGCAGCATTTTAGGTACATCAACAAAAGTTGTAGTCGAATTCGGCACGGTGCCACTAGGAAGCACGGGCGCTCGTCTGTTCGTGTGCCGAGAAAGTTTTATTCCGATGGACTATGCCACTCTCATGTGTCTGCCCTGTTTCTTATAGTTAAGATATCATTCATTGACCAGTGCTCTCTATTATCGGATTTTCGTAAAAGGTATGCTTTGGACGAAGAGGCGTCTATTTGTGTGAATGGCTGGGGTTCGTCGCCGAAGCCCAGACAACGTAACTCTCCCGGAAATGTGTGGCCATAAACGGATTTTTGTCCACTGTTTTTTTAGAAGAAAACTTTAATGTTGTTCTTTAATTTCATGCCATTTTTGGAGATGGTAGCCTTTTATTATAAAATGTATTCACAGCATGCTGAGAATGTTCTATTCTACATGACATGTATAATCTTCTCCATATATGTTCATGGTGTGACATGCTTTCTTTTTATGTGCTCACAATGTCACCACATTGCCAACACATGCAGACACTTTTTCAGGTGCTTTATTTGCTCTGAACAGTAGACACTGCAAATTAAGCCATTTGTGATGTACAAAACACCTTTTTGATCACTCAAGTGGTCCTGGGTCTGTAACTTGACTTCTTCATGATGAAACCTTTTGTGCCATCTCTGTCTCACTTTGATCAAATCACTTGTTAAGATTATTCTTTGTCTTCATCAAAGCTACATTTTATGTCAAGTCAGGTAGTAACAATGTCTGAGGCGAGGGTTGCTGGGAATACATTGGAACATCAAAATAACAAAAGTAGGTGCCGAGTAAGTGTGGTGTGATGTGTGTAGGCTGCATCTATTATTTGTGTCTAGGTAGCTGTGAATACACCCTTAGTGTAATGATAGTTGTGCCCTGTAATAAGGCTCAGAGGCCAGTGATGGTGTGCTTTGTTTGCAATTAAAGCACCACAATCTCAAATGGATCTCACCAAAATCTCCCATGGTGTGCAGATTGCACACCATGTCATGCATGTAATGCTTTGCATCATTAAGTGTGTAGTACCAACTTATTTAGAGTGTGGAAGGTCACATGTCATTGTCACCAG